GTGTACGAAAGGGTTCAGTTATGTCCTTGCTCGGTGGTTCGCCTCCTATGGCGCAAGGGGGACTCGCCCGGGGCCGGCAGCTGTTGGCCCCTGGAGCGGCAAAGGATCCACCAGGGGGCGGGGGGCAATGTGGGGTCAAGCCGCAAGGGGAGATGCCCAACACCCCCCCGCTTACAGCAGAGGAAGAAGGGAGTAGCCGCCCCGGACCCCTCTTTAAATACTTTCGAGGCGAGGGCCCCTCGGGGGCCCGCATCGGTGCCTGCCGGACGGTNCTACCTGGGGACACTAGCCACTCACCTGGGGACACTAACCACTACCTGGGGACACTAACCACTCACTTGGGGACACTAACCACTACCTAGGGACACTAACCACTCACCCAGAGGCTATAACCACACATGGAGGCATCTTAAAATCTTTGTAACGAATTTTGCAGTTAGATGCCGGGAGCATTTATAGGTGTTCAGGAGGTAAACTTCACTTTAGCTGGTCGTACCATTCGCCGGCTCAACGCCTCGGAGCGGGACAGCACGGTATGTTCAAAGTTCGGGAAAGATAGTTCCAGAAAGATGACGTAGCAGCCGGCCGAAGCCGGCTACTGTCACGGGAGCTCAGCATAACGAACCTCTTGCCTCAACGGTTAGAACAGAACTCCTGAACCGTATTAGAGGCTGGAGTTCAGTCTTCAAATTAGGATATGAAGAAAGGAGGAAGGTTGATCACACCAAATTGCAAAAATGTTTGGAATTGTAGCCGAGCAAAGGAAATCTGGAATAACTTCAACTCAAGTGACAATCTTCCAGCTGAAATCATGGGAACGCAGCCGTGGGTAACAAAATTGACTCGTAAACAGGCCCTGGGCCCAACGCCAACCATCAGCATGCAATATCTACACATAGCCTCAGATCAATGAGCTATGTGTAAGTGACTCATATCACCACATCAACTTTAAAAAACACCGCCACTGCTTCACAGCGCCGGAGCGCAACAGGCCTTACCGCAACAGGCGCAGGTTAGGTTAGGTTAGGAGTAGGGCCGGGGTAAGACGTTGTAGGTAGGGCCTGCTGCGCTCCGGCCAGTTGTTCTCCGGCGCTGTGAAACAGTGCCTGTGACTGAACGGCGCTGTTGTGGTGGGCGCTCTGTGTCGAAAGCCGTTAAGATGCCCGGCTGCGCTACGCTCGGGAAGGTATATGAATCGCACTGTGGACTTGGGCTATGCTGACCTCTAGGCTCTAGCCATTCACCCGAAATCATCTTATGGCAACCCGAACGCAAATAACAAGTCCCAACTTTGCAGGAACCAAGTGATCCCGAGCACTGACATTGACATATCTATCATGCCAGAGAACTCTCCAAGTCAGGGTAAACTTATGGATGAAAGAGCACTTCCAACATTACTCTCAACTTGGAAGCCGCTACATTGATTTCCAACAATGTGACGTTAATGAACACCGGAGCCTTGAAGCCAGTTGAGAGAGTGGATAGCAACATGAACCGAGACCGAGTAGTGGTCATTTCTATATCAGACGATTGTGGATCGGTTGGGTTGGGGAGGCAAATTCAAATAATTGCAAAGGAGTCTCCTGCAGCAGAGCTTTACTCGCCAAGTAAAAATAATCTTGTTGCAAGCGGTATAATGTTTTCAGATTCAGCGAGTATCGTCTTTCCCATTGAAGAAGAAATCCCTCCTGGACGTCGCTGTCCGTTGCGTATTTATTTCTTCTAGCGTAGTTCTTATTCTTTTGCGAGCAGACCTTGAGTTACAAACAGAAGCTATTAAAAAGAAAGAACAAAAGTTTGCTCCTGCAAGACCATCAGGCGAGGAAAGAAAGACAATGTCATGCCCTCAACATCTCAAAGCAAGCGTCCCAGACAATCCACTGAAGACGATTCTGTTATGGAAATTAGCAATTGTTTGATTTTTGGACGTGATTGGGCTGCTGATCGGGTGCCCATCCATTCATTATGGGTTGGCTGTGAAACACATGGGTACCCTCATTGGACTCGCCAACAATGTCTCCAAAAATAACTTTGATTACAAAGTCGAATTTTACTGTCAAAACTAAGAGCAGTTTAATTTTTTATTTACTATACCCGCATTATTACAGTATGATGTAATTTTTGCACTGTGAGGAATATTTTTGTACATCTTCTTTTCTATTTAGTGCAAAAATTATTATATATATCCGAATTTTATTTGTTACTAATTTTATACAATTTCATGCTTAAAAAGAATATCTGCGAATATAACTGTTTCACACCGAAATGGGAGCGCCATGGTTGGCCGGTTCCACTCTCGCTCCGGCCGGTTTTCATAAAGCATAGAGTTTTTTAGACTCTCCCTCAAGTTCATTTTTGAGTCCTATAAGTAGACCAGTAAAGTATCCTGGATACCAGCATTATTATACATAAGAAATTGGTATAAATCTGGAGTAAATGAGGAAATTAAGAATGAACTGATACTAAAAAATCTGTGCTTTGTCACTATGCTCCGGTAAAGTGGACGCTAATTCTGTATTTTGATTGCGTGCTTGTTCTTAAAATTAATGCGCGCTTATTCTGCCTCATAATACTTATATCATTGGTCTTCTTAAATTGTAAGTTCACCGAAAATTTAAACTATTCAATATTATTGGTTCTGCTTAATTTTCGCGTTCTCACGTTTTCTGAGCTTATAAAAGATCAGCCATCACCAGGGCAACTAACTGCTTTGGTGAAGTCATCAATCATCTGGGTGAACAAACAGCTGGTGAGGTGAGCCATCATCTGGGTGAACAAACAGCTGGTGAGGTCAGCCATCATCTGGGTGAACAAACTGCTGGTGAGGTCAGCCATCATCTGGGTGAACAAATAGCTGGTTAGGTCAGCCATCATCTGGGTGAACAAACTGCTGGTGAGGTCAGCCATCATCTGGGTCAACAAACAGCTGGTGAGGTCAGCCATCATCTGGGTGAACAATTAGCTGGCAGGTCAGCCATCATCTGGATGAACAAACAGCTGGTGAGGTCAGCCATCATCTCGGTGAAAAAACAGCTGGTGAGGTCAGCCATTATCAGTGTGACCCTAGAAGCCTGAGGAACAATGTTTACCTCAGTCGGCCGCGCGCTGTTGAACCGCGAGGTTGTGTGTGTCGCGGCCAGCAAACCCTGTGTTGCTAGTGATGACGCTACAAGCGACCGTCATCATTACTATTTACCTCGCATATCAACAACAATTACAAATAGCCTGGAGCAACTATACTGAAATATAATTCAATTACAATGATATTCTAATTATATTCTATTGCAACTCTTACTCACGACAGTTTTTATTTGACTTTCGATGAACGCGTCGATTTGAATTATTGAGCATAAATTTAAGATGGGATTCGAATTCATAAATAAACAGCCCCTTTTTATTTATCGCTTGTCATTGCGCAGCAATCAAAATGTTGATGCAAGTTGAGCACGCAATACAAATGACAATATTGATTGGAAATTTTCCCCCAAAAATTGTCGCACTCAAATTGATCGTTAAATAAATGGAATCGAAATGGCAAATAAATTAAAACCAATACTTGTACATTTTTATCGAGTTTTTAATGAAATACAAACTTAATCTATGAGAGGCATAAAATTGAAGCTGAAATCTATCTTCTACCGCATTAATAATAACCAGACAGAAACTATTAATCAGTTGTACAAAATACATTAATACAAAATCTAGGGGTAAATTGCGAACAAAACATTTAGAAATTTTAACCTGATTTTTAAATCGGTATCTGTTAGTGGAAACAAACTGGTCCTTATAACTGAAAATAAAGATGCAGTGCGATTGCGTTTTGAACAATCGCAGTGGGAAAGATTGAACAAACTATAACCAAGAATAACCAACGCTGATGTCAGCAAAAATAACAATAATGTTAATAAAGTGCGCGGTTCTGCCTTGTTAAGAAGTAGAATAAAATTCGCATGATGAGCGAAAGTGTTCACTCTTCAGGGTTTGCAGGAAGTATTGAAAATATTGAATATACCGAATTTAATGTTGAGAATATACCGAATATTAATATGTTAATGAAAATATTTATTGCCGAGGATGTAAAAAGTATAAAATTTATGTAATTACGTAAATCAATCTTTTAAATGGAATCGAAATATTTATTCGAAACTTAAATTTCCAGTTGATTTACGTATTTTCGAACGAAGATGATTGATGAGGTCATGAAATCTTTCTGTATGCTTTTTATGAGGTTATTCATTCTCGAATGTTGTAAATTTTTTAAAGTAATTTTTCAACGTTTTGTTTTACAGTGATCTTCATATTCTAGAAAAAAACGTATAATTATAAATTAGCATTTGCAAGCATATTTCATGCAGAGCTTCAAAGTGAATTAATGTATCAATAAAATGCGACTAAAGTTTATTGACTTAATCAAAAATTAATTAACGATCCGGGAAATGCAATCAAGACGCCTATCAGATTTCGAACAGAGAAGTTTCAGCCTGTTTAATCGCCAAGGGACAGTCTGTCAGACGGTAGATTCTACACTTGAAAGACAGTTGGTAATACGTGAATCGGTGATCATTCAAGCAAAATTTTTTACTCTTCTTCTCTAAAACCTTCTGTTGCAGTGATGGATTCTATTGGAAAATAATTTTGAATGAAAGTTTGCTGGTAAAATTTCATTCAAATTAACGACTGATTTGTGAGTCTCCTTCCAGATATTCACTTACTACTATGGAATCACGTTCATCTCAAATCATGTCATCGATTATATTTATTGAAAATTTAGTTTAGGCCGTGCCGTGTAAAATTAGTCCAGACGCGTAGCTAGGCAAATCGACCTCTAAAAGTGCGAAATCAGTGAACTAATCTCTATATCATGGAATTTGTATTATGAACAAGAAACCGTCGTTCGCGTTCCGTACGTTAATTTATATAGTTGTTTAAGACAAATTTGGTTTGAATTGTCAGGTGGAAGCGAGATCACATTTCCAGGCATTCGTGTCTGAAAGACACGCAAGTGCTTCTCATTAAACACAACACGAATATTTCACGTAAATCTTCCCTTGACCTAACGAGCAACATGCGACGCCCAGCAACGCTCCTCTGCTCTGTCATCTTCTGCCTACAAATCTTACAAGGTGAGTTAAAGTAAAATTGTTTCCACAGTCAGCGTTAGTGAACAGAAGCGGAAAGTATTGCGTGAATTTAAGTAATAGCGATATAATAATTTACATTATGTAAAAGATGTAATAAATATATAGTATTTAACGATGACATATTTTAACCCAAAGCGTGCTCAATCGTATCTCTCGAAGCTACTCAAGTTTGGAATCATGTATATAATAAATCTAATGAACCTGAGGAGCTAATACCGAGAAATCAAGATTAAATACCGGATGCCAAGCTATCTGATCGCTCGGTAAACTCAAGTCATCTCAACTCAGGTAAGTCGAGCTTATTGACGCAGGGAGACAGACGGCGTGTTAGAGGCCTATTTTGATCTTAATTCTTGTTTTCTGTTGCGAAAAATAGGATTACTAAGGTAAATGGGTTTGAGATAAATTCACGGATGTGTGATAAGATTGGTCCGCAAAAAATTCCCACTGCATCAAACTACATCAAAATATTGATCGTAAAAATTAAGAAAGCCAACCATGTTCAACTACCGCTATGGGATCGCAATACAGTTGGTTTTGCTGTTGCTACGTTTTTAGCGCATTTTCTAATTTATGGAAAAAATGCACTATTGTGCTAGCCATGTCCGTCCATCCGACGTCTGTCTGTCTGTCCGTCCGTCTGTCCGTGACCTCAAGTTTTCGTCGACGAGAAAATGCGCTCTGTGTCATTCACTGCAGTGAGTACTGAGTTATATTTTTTCAAGTTGTCGCAGGGAACTGTTAACAAATATTCTTGATATTCAGATTGTCCCTGCCCTGTAGGTAAGAGGAATTAAGTCTGGGCGCCGTGGCCCGCCAGTCGTTGTCAACCAAGCCCAACTTGTTTCCGTTTAGCTTAAACATATAATAAATGTTGAACTAAAACTTTATGAGCAATTTTCTAATTAGCATCTCATTTGATTCATTGATACAATAAGCATCACACTCAAGTGGCTTTGTCTCCTAGAAGTAAATGCCTTCAAGGACTCGTTCATACTTTCATCGCATCACACGTTGCTGCATTGCTGTATATTCTAGGCTTGGTTGACAACGACTGGCGTGCCACGGCGTCCAGACTAAATTCCTCTTACCTACAGGGACAAACTGATTACCAAGAATATTTATTAACAGTTCCCTGCGACAACTTGAAACAATATAACTCAGTACTCACTGCACAGAGAGCGCATTGTCTCGTCGAAGAAAACTTGAGGTCACGGACGGACGGACAGACATACAGACAGACGGACATGGCGAGCACAATAGTGCATTTTTTCCATAAATGAGAAAATGCGCTTAAAATAAGCAAACTAAGCTTGCTCAGACTGACAAGTAAATAAATAAGTTTTTAGCTCATGAATGGATGTTCTAAATTAATAATATATAGGTTGCATCATTGCCTGAATTTCTGCTTGCATACCTGAATCTCCTATAAGACCTGATTTGAGAAAATTTTAAGGGATGCATTTTTTTGGCTGATGGGAGGCCTGCATAAAAAGTCGTCCAAATTTATCCTCTATTAATTTATAAAAGAGAAAACTCCGCACTGTTCTAGGATGGTTGTTATTCCTGGTTTTTGGGAGGCATATCAAGGCCTCGTATTACTTAAACTCGGGTTTGATTGAAAATGGTGTGGGGTTTAGACTTCCAAATTTTGTATCCAAAGTTAGCCTTAAAGCAAGACTCTGAAAATTAATACCAGCGTTGATTTCCAATTGATAATTAAAAATTCCATTAAATTTAAACGCTTCTCAATGTAAAGCTGAAAAAATAGCTTCAACAACATTAATATCATTCTTGGTCTGCGCGAGAATCTTCGAGCTTTTTCGCTCGATGGAGCTGGACGCTGTTTGCTGGAGGTTGGATGAAATGAATCACAACGAGCACTCGCACATGATATTTCTTCGACAAAATAGAACACAAATAAGATTTATAGAACACAAAGTAAGAACAAAGTGTGTCTATATTTATTGAATTTTGATATAGTTGCTTGAAAAGCTTCTCTATGACATCCAAAGCTGTCTGTTCGTTGCAACCAAAAATTAACATTTAATCAACTTGAGCTGAACCTGCCTTTGTTATTTCGCTACAAAATTTTAAATTGATAAATTTTGGGTTCTCAGGGTAATTGTAGCAGTTATCGTGCATTGTTAAATTTTGCATCAATTGAGCATTTATAAAATTTTGTAGTGCTAGATTCTGGAATTCTGAACTCGAAAAATATCAGTCAAAATTTGTGCTATGTAGTAACGTGTTTTATTTTTGTCAAGAAAGTGATGCTTGAGGTGACGGCAGTTCGGGGACGAAAATTGGAATGTGAGTCACTCTGAAAAATGTAAACTCATGGCAAATATAATTCGATATTATTGTATAAAACATGAATAATTTCATAACGATTACGGTCGCTATTTAAAACCTTATTATAAAATTAAATTCATTACGTCAGGTGACACTTATTTGAACTCCCTCCTGCATTTTCTTTCTTCAAGTAACGTTGATGCATTTATTTTTAAATTTTGCATTGCAATGAATTGTCTGCCATATTGTCTCCTGAGTCACAGAAGTTTGCATACGCAACCACGACAACAAAGTTCCTTGTATTGTTTGGTTCTGCAAAATTAAAATGCTAACGCTGTTCGCAACGTGCCGCCAGAAATTAATTACTTAATTTCCAGATAACATTAAAACTTAGGAGGAACAGGTATTAAAGTTCTTGATAATATCCAATGCCTAACTGACGATTCAATTTAATCGTAAAAGTTTTTATTAGCTACGACGGAGATCAAACTAACAAATTTGGGATCACGTTATGAATGCGAATTATTAGGAATTTCGCTCATAGAAGAATTATATGATTGAAAAAGAACGACGAGAGATCAGTTTAAAACGGAATTAATGCTAAATAATAATAAATAATAATAATGATGATGTTGAAACAAGAATTCTAAATCACGCTACTAAGAAGAATCATGAGGGATCATACTAAAATAAAATTTATGAGAGATCACTGAAGAAAAAGATGTGAGCGTTCATTCACAAAAGTAGTATTTAGGAGAGGGCCCATCATCTCGGGATGCATAAACGAAAAAATATACGTTTAAAAATTACTTTTTAAAGACAACACTTCAAAAGAATCCAGTGTCTCCAATCTTACAGATGTACAATGAATTTCCCATTTAATTTTCGAATATTAAAAAAATTAATTTTTCAACTTTTTAATATATAATTTTTTTAATATATAAATTTGTTTCAAAATTATTTATTCTATTAATTGATTCATGCATTGCTTCTGACTTCGCACAAGTGTGCAAAATTTCAGATCAATTAGAAAGGTAAAAGTGTGTCAAATATCAGTTATAAGATTTGTAGCTGACAAAATTATTTTTTCAATTTTTTTAATATTGAAAAATTTTTTTTTTAATTTTCAAAATCATTTATTTTGACATTTGATTCATGCATTGTCTCCAACTTTACACACGTGTGCAAAATTTCAGATCGATAGGATAAGTAGAAGTGTGTTAAATTTCGATTACAAGATTTGTAGCAGACAGACAGACAGACAGACAAACAAACAAATAAACAAACAAACAAACAAGAAGTGAATTTAAAGAGAAGTGTTGTAATTAATAGGTCGGTCATTTACCCTCATCAAGACCAGGGGTCACACTTTCGAAAAAGTTAAGAGATCGTAAGTTCATCAGCCAATCATTGACGGCCTTTCAAGCAAAATCCACCAATCATAGACAAGAAAATAGAGCGTAAATACTTACGTTAACTTAGCCAGTTTTGAAAGTATGGCCCCTGGGCTATTTAGCCCCGATTAAAAATTTGATTACTTAAACCCCTAATGACCGAGCACTCCCAATATTTTTTAACTACCGTCGTTAGTAGAGCTTCGAAACTATTCGTTACTAATAACCTAGAGAGAGCAAAACAGTTTGAGTGAATGGTTAATCTGACTTGAGCCCGAGTAATCTACATGAATAACCTTTGTAAAATACTTTTTATGTTATTCACTTCAAAATCCAGCTATGTAGATAGATATCGGAGTTTTACCGTAAAAAAACATGAACATATGCAATTGGTAAGACAAAATACTGTATTGGAGACATGATTTCAACGTTGCAGCAATTGTCTCAAATTTGAAAAGCTTTTGATGAACTCGCTGTGAAGAGTTGGCAAAAGAATTACGTTACATTTTTTGTTTTATTTAAGATGTGTCATTCAAAAACATGTTTGTATTAATTTTTCTTACAATGTTGAAAGTGGGGCGTTGTAACCAGCTTGAGTGACAACGAGCGCAACATTTTACAGCACGCATACTCAATGTTACCTGTACTAAATATACGTTATTTTGAGTAACTTACGTAAATTAGTCAATTAATGTGATGAATTACTTGACAAAATGATGATGAATATCATCTTAGTTTATTTTCAGTCGCTCTCTACAGCTTTAACTCTTCTCGCGCATTCATGAACACCCCATCAGGCAATGCCAGGTTGAATCAACGTTGAAACAACAAAACTCACGACGTTGAAATAATGTTGAATATTAGTCTAGAATGAAAATTAAATCAACGTATTTTTTAAACGTCGTACATTTCGACGTTATTTCAACGATGAAACCGCGTTTATATCCGACTGCAAGATCCCAATTGCAATTCAACGTTGAAACAACGTCGAAATGTACGACGTTGAAAAATTACGTTGATTAAATTTCATTCTAAACTAATATTCAACGTTATTTCATCGTCGTGAGTTTCGTTGTTTCAACGTTGATTTAACCTGACATTGCTTGCTGGGCCATTTCTGTAATTGGATTATTTTGGTGCACTTGTCGTGATCACAGAGATGCTCCGAAATGTAGCTACATGGAAGAGAATTGGCAGATTTAGCAGGTAGTTACACTGTTGAACGAAATAAACGTAAACACAACAATAACTATATAACCAACTTCTTAAAACTTACCTGGATTACCACCCTTC